TGTTTCTAGGCCTTCTGAACCTTTGGCAAGTAAAACATGGGCTGACTGGTTAAGGCACATGCAAACTAGCTGAGCCGTTTTGTGGAAACAATATGTCTCTCAATATACATGCATTCTTTCTAAAATGGATTAAAAAACTGAATCACTTTATTGTTAGTGTATGTGTTTTTTTGAGCATTAAAACCACATATTAAATAATATAATACTGAGTAACCCAACATCTTTCTAAAAAAAATGCTACCTGTTGTTATAACTGATGTCACTGCAACCACTTGCATTCATGACCTCCTGCTAGTGCAGGTTCATTGAAGCTTGCATGCTAGTAGTACTCCCTGCTGGAGGAACTTCAGCCTGTTATCGCTCTCCAAAGCCATGACCCACATCCTTTAGATATTAAAAAAACAAGTCGTTTTCTGTCATCTCAGAGTTTTCATACTTCAGCTAACTACTGGAACACTTAAGCTGTACAGGGGAAAAAAGGCTTTTTTACTCATTGAATTTTTTTACTCAGTGAATCACACTATTCCGTGACAATGGGGGTTTCACTATAGCCTTTTAAAGCTCCCATTATAACTCAATGTTTTAACAGTTAAAGTGAATGAAGTATTATGTATATAGATTATTTAATATTATTTATTACCTTTTTGATTGCAAAGATACTAACAGGCAGCTCCCTAACAAAGCTCTCTCTCTGTCTCTCTTTCTCTCTCAAACAGAAAAAAAACTGACTACTGGGTTGAGCCTGCACACTTCTAGAAGAAAGTTTAACCCCAATTTTCCAGTATACACTATATGGACAAAATAATAATTATTGAATTCAGGTGTTTTATTCAGTCCCATTGCCACAGATGTAGAAAATCAAGCACCTAACCATGCAGTCTGCCTTTACAAACATTTGTTAAAGAATGGCTCTAAAGTGCTCACTCGCTTTCACCATCCCATGTGGGAATTAGAGCCTGTTTGCATCACAGAGCTAATTGCATCAAATCAGATTTTGTCTGAAATTACTGTTAATGTTGCCAACTAACGCAATTGTGACGGCAAGTGACTACCTCGTAGAGCTTTGAGCATTTCTTCATAGCCTGTGGCGATGCTTTGGCACTGCCAGTGGCAATGACAGTAAAAAGGATGGGATAACGATGATAACTACAGAAAAAAAGGAATTCAGAAGTTCGGAGTCGAGTGGAAGGAAAAACTGTGGCTGGAGATTTTTAGAAGGAAATGGTGTTCTTTCAAGCACATCATCATTTTGCAAGATGGACAGACACCACAAGTTCATTACCGGGAGTAGAAAACACAATTTTCAGATACACAGCAGCTTTCAAAAGAAAAGCATAGCCCTGGTTTGACTTATAAGGAAAAACACCTGATGGGTTTTTATAATGTTTGTTATACATAAATACATAACTATGTTTCAAAATTCTTCACAAGATTGATTAACTTGGTAGCTTGAATGGTCAGTGCAGATTATTCTCTCTACTCCGACTGAGGCTCATTAATAAGATTATGGTATTATCTCCAACAAAATAATCATGAATAAATCCCAAATATCTGACACATCGACCAGCCCTGCACCTACAACAAAGAACTTTGATGGAAATGAAGCTGAAGTGAAAAGCTGCTGCACATGGCCTAAGTATTAGTAAATAGCTGTTTATGTTAATAAAGCTTTAGCAGGATTTTTCTTACCTAATTGAAAAGTAACAGGAAAAACAAACAATGCTCAGAAAATGTCAATAAGGCAGTGTATACCCAAACCTTTGACAGTCTGAGTTGAGCTTTTAGTGTTTTTTGGCAGTGTTCATTCTTCTTTTTGTCCATGAGCTGTAAGCCTGCATCTACTGAAAAGACTGACCCATAAAATGTATAGGTAGTGAGGTATGGCCCAGATCAAAGTACAGGGCATGAAGCCAGCGCTGCAGTAGATCTGTACACCATTAACATTCCTGCATTGTCACATTCATCCCTCAGGTCAGTGGAAATCAGCCTGTGACAACTAAACTTATTTCACCTTTTCTGCTCCAGATGCTGCTGCAGAGGGTTCAGTGGCTCTTCTGACTGCAGTAAGACTAGAAATAGGACCCTGTAGGACTCTATGTGTGTGTATGTGTGTAGCCAGAAAGAGCCTGGCTGTCTGTCTGGCTGATTAAAGAGCCCCTCCCAGAGTTCTATCAGATTCCTTTGTGTTCTCCTGCACATTCCTGTGACCTGCAGGAAGAGGAGCTGCTTCTCATCAAAACCACTACTTTACCCATCAACGATCACCTGTTCCTCACACACACTCCACTTCACATCTCTCTCTCTCTCTCTCTCTCTTTCTCTCTCTCTCTCTCTCCCTCTCTTTCTCTCTCTCTCTCTCTCAGCCTCCACCTATGCCTAGACACCCTCATTAACTATATCATGCTATCTAAAACTGTGCTACATATGATTTTGTTAAAAATGCAAAAAGAAATAGCATCACTCAGTTTGTGGTAGGCCAGGGGCCAAAAAAGGCAAAATGATAAACAAATAAAGAAGATGGGTAGGTTTCTAAGAGTTTTTAAAAATATGTTTTGTAACGTCACTATATTTTGTTATTAAAAGAATTAAAAAATACTAAAACCTTTTTTAAAAGCTTGTGCGTGAATGTTAAAATGTTCTCTCACTGGGTAAAGAGTGGAGTTAGGTTAGGGTAACTTTCTGGCGAGCCAAATTAAACGTCCTTAAGAGCCAGCATTGGCCCATGCGCCACACCTTGGGCAGCTTTGGCGTGGAGCATTTTATACGCCAGGCATCACTCTCAGATTTAACAGTTTCTTTATTCAGTTTTTTCTTTACATCCTAGTGGACAGTTATATGGGTCAGAGGGAACTGATGCGAGATCAACACCTTTACTCACTTTCACACTTTCACTGATGTTTTTAATACATGATAATACAGTGTTTAATACAACACAGAGTCAGAAAAAGATGTGCTGGAAGTCAAAACTGATTCCCTTTTAAGCTCACAGTGGAGTACTGTCAGGATATGAAGTTGAGTTGGTTTGAGCATGAATAAATTACATTTGGCGCTGCTGACAAACTATTTTGCTGGCTATCGTATATTTTACACGAGGGAATGGAAGATATTGCGCTGTTTAGTTTCATTGAAAAATACTTGGCCCAAACTGCAAAGCCTTGCAGAGTCAGACAAAGCACATTCACTTTGTCTTGCTCACTGAATGAGTTGAGCTGCCTTCTAGTCAATGGCCAAACAGAGGCAGGTGCTTCCTGTTTCTGGAAGTCTCTCTTTCTCTCTCTCTCTCTCTCTCTCTCTCTCTTTCTTTTTCTGCCTCTCTCTGCCTCTCCATCCTATCCATTTAGGTATATCATTTTTCACATTTTGCTCACACTGCACCTTTAAAATTATATTACCAGTCAGATGCATCATATTTATGTAAAAAAAGTTCAAGAAACTGCCTCTAGCATTTTTACACTATATATTATTCCACTGATCCCTTTGTTTGTGGACTGAGTGTGTTTGATAAGCATGATGAGCAAGAACAAATTAAACTGAGGAATGTAAATTGATATTATAACTGAGAGACTATTGATGAATAAAGCCAGTGTTTATAGAGTATCTTGGGGTAGCGGTGCTGATGCAGAATGTGTTTTTTTTTGTTTGTTTTTTTTTATGGCTGAGATCGAAATAGATCAGTGCTCTTCATTCCCACTTCTTGAGAAGCGTGGCTCTGCAGTATTTCATGAATCAAAACACCTGATTCAGCTCTTCAGCTAATTCATCAACTCCTTTCTGAGATAAATCAGGTGTGCTGGAGGAAAGAAAGCAAAGCAGCAGTAGGAACTTTTGGGACTGTGAGTGAAGAACACCAGCATAGACTGCAGTCTGATTCTAAAGCAGCCATGTTGACCTGTGCTACACTGCTATTAAAGCTTGCCATTACAGTTTTCAGTAATATGAAAAAAAAATTCAGTGTGATACTAGTACTTAACAATTAAAAAAAAAAAAAGTCATCTAATTTGTGGGAGACTGTAAGAAATGTAAGAATTTTACATGTGTCTAGGAGCTGCAGATGATTCCATAATAAATTAAAACACTGAGTGCATTTACATGCAAAGCCTTCATTTCGTTGAGAATGTAGTTAGTTTTATTGTCGCTCCAAAAGTATTTTGCTGCCATCTCGCGGCAATGCTGCTTGCTTATTTCCGGTACAGCAGTCTGTTCTGCACATGCACAGACTGAGAAATCTGAAAGAAATCCGGGTAAGAGTGTACATACGCTGAGAAATCTGATCACTGAGCTAAAATCCAGCTCTCTTTATTGGATTTCATAATCTGATTTCTAGATAGGAATATGGTGTTTACATGACCAACTGCAGAAGTTCGATTATGTTCGGATTATTAAACGCACTCATTGAAACAGATAACTTGACCTAAAATTAATGTAAGTATACAATTACAGTATATAATTTATCATTTAATAACATTTAAAAGCTACCTAAAATATTCTGATATCTAATTTATATCTAATACGTATTTAAAATTTAATTCTACACAGTTTATGAAGTTTTTGAATAAAATGCCAAAAAAAGTTCCAAACTTGATAACACTTTATATGGATAGCCCTCTGTAGATGTTTGATAAGTGCTTACCTTAGCATTTAACTTGCATTCAATTATTCATTAAATTCACCTCAATTTTCCTTAATCCAAAACCTTGATCTAACCCTTAACCCTGACCCTGGTCCTAAGACTAACCCTGGTACTAATCTTGACCCTAACTCTAACGCTGTTAAGAGCCATTTTTTTTTCTTTTTAGTAAGTAGTTTAATAATTCAGACAATTATAGATAATCTATTGGGAGCTATCCAAATAAAGTGAGACCCCAAACTTTTGTGTATATTCATGCTAGGCTATTCTGAAGCTAGCATGAACATCACTTAAAACTTCAAAATTTGAATAAAACATCTAGCACAAACACAGCCTCTCTCTCTCTCTCTCTCTCTCTCTCCTTTATGTGCAGGTAGTAAAGTCTGTGATGTTGTTCCCAACAATCGAGCGCATGGCCTGTAGTCCTCAGGGCCAGGTCATGACCCCGGTACTTTGCAGGCTGCGCTATGCCGCCTACCTGCCCGTTTTCCTGCTCTCATTGCTGCCTGAGAGACTGAAGGCCGGCCTAGTTCAGCTGGCCCTGAGGAACCTATACTCTCTGGACACCACCATGATCCCAGCCACCGTCAGCTTGATCAATGTAGACTGTGCTGGTAAGTCTTGCCTTTGCTAGCACATTCTCGCTAAGTGTGATGAATGCCCAAGTTGTCATTGCAACATCAGTCAAAAAAGAGGCTTGCCAAGAATTAAATGTTCAAAAAATGGTCCTGAAATATGTTCTTATAAAGAAACCGAGTCTTGGATATCTGTTTAAGTGGCCCTCGTTTATTAGCAAAAGTTCAAGATGTTCGAATCTTTAGCAAGTTATGTCTGTGGCCTTGGTTACTTAGATGGACATTTCTCAGAATAACTGCAGTGATGGAGAGTTGTATTAATTTTTACTAACTGTTATGAATGCTTTAGATATCATCACAACATCAGTCAAAAACAAGGCTCGCCAAGAAAGAAACATTCGAAAAAATGTTCTCAAGACTCCTTATGAAGTGCCATTGTCTTGAATATCTGTTGTAAGTGGACTACATTTTATTTAATAGCAAAGTTTCAAGTCTTGTTGCAAGATGTGTCTGTAGCCATAGTTACGATGGCCGTTCTCCCAAATGTCTGCATTGGTGGTGCATTTTATGAATTCTTTTAGGCCGATGAGGCGCAGTCTAAATTAGGATACAATAGCCTATCTATCTTCATAAGTGAGGAACAGTAACATTGACACCTTGGCTTTTATCTGTAAATAGATACTGATGCAGTAGCCAGCAATTTCATCACTAAAACTGCACCTCCATCAGAATGGTGTTTGGCTCAAACAGATAAACTTCTTTTTCCAGTACTGAGGTATTAATACTCCAACACTTTCCAAATTTCCTCCTTTCTAAAGGCATGCTTCTCTGTTTGTTCCTCTGATAAGAGGCGTATTAGCACATTAGAAGGTGATGTTTGTGATGGTCCACATAAATGAAATCAGCATTTGAGTGGCAGCCAAGTGAGCAGTGTTTCCCAGTGCACAGAATAAAGTTTTATTTATTAGAACTCTTATCTAATCTCCAGGGCTTTCCGTTTGCAGGGTAATGGTGCAGATGAAGTGTTGTGAGTAGGAGTAATTAAGAGTCCTCTCCTCCGCGGGGAGCAGACCTGCGCGGCTCTTTCTGTCTCTCTAGGTGAAAGGCAGAGTGTTTTCCCTGTCTGTCCTGGGAGGTGGATGATTGATGCTGTGATGGCTACAGACTCTCTGCCAAAGAGGCCTCAGTAGAGCCTAGAAGCGTTAGAGTGAGCTCAGCGCTCAGTGTTCTTAGTCTCTCTCTTTCTTTCTCGCTCTCTCTTCTCTCTCTCTCTCTCTCTTCCCCTAACTCTCTTTTCTCCTCTGTCTCCCTTCTCTCTCTCCCTCTCCCTACTGAGGCTTAGATCTTCACCCCCAACTGCACTCATAAGCATGCTTTTAATCATTTAGCACTTTCCGCCTGTTGTCATTTGGGATTACATTTTTTCCCAACCTTTCTTTTCTTTTTTTCAGTTGAACAAAATGTTCAAGATGGTTCAAGCTTTACTTTTTTCCTACTCTTAATTACTAGTTTTGGTATGGGCTCAGTAAATATGAACAAATTTTTCAAAATGTTTTTGTTTTGTTGTCTTTTAAAAAGACTGTGGGTGCATGTGTGTTTTGCATCACTGGCCTTCGTCTGCGAGCAAAAAGCTGCTCTCACTCTCTGTCTTGCATTACACACATAATTAATGGTGAGTTGACAGACTTAATTAAGAAAACATGTTGCGATTAGATGGAGCTTCCTGGGGTATTTTTAAGGATTTATTTGTTCGGAAATCCCTTTCCTTGAAATGGAGAATGTTGATGCTCTCATGTTAACTGCATGTGAAACATACACACAGTACATGTCAAGCAGAGATCCATGGTCAGCATGTAATACCGTATATAAACTAATGAGGCAATCCGCCCTGGATGGCCTGTAGGGAGACCAGCCATTGAAAGGACTCTAATGTGCCCCATCACCGCAGAGGTCCAGCCTGCAGGACCATGCCTCAGTCGGCTTTTGTGCTATATTCTGTTCATGACGTAGCATTGTCTAAAGAATGAATATTGTCAGCATTTTCTGTCATGTTTTGTCCTCACATTTTTCCAAACAGCAAGAGATTTGATATGATAGAGTTGGATATGTTTCTTGCCCTCCCGGTTGACCCTTTTCTGCGGCCGGTAAGGCGGTCAGGACCCTGACTTGGCTCCCTTACGAGAGCGTGAAACCAGAGCGCTGCTGCTAGACACTAGTTTCCCCCGCTGGAGCGGAGCATAGTTAACATCGGCCTGACCCGCAGCCCAGTGGCCACGCTCATAAACTTCCTACCTGGCACTTCACTCAGACAAGCTACATGTCCTTTCCCTTTCCTCACACAGACACCTGTTTCTGCTAGCAAAGGCTGGCTAATGTAGTGAAACCATATTAAAGTTGTACAGTGGAACTGAACGAAACACGAATTTGCTCTTCCAGTAAGAAATGCTGGCATAAGATTTTCTCTTTATACTCTTTTTTTCAGATTTGTTTTGAGTCCCTTACTAGGCATAATACCAATTTTTCCCAAGCATCAAGCATAATTAGATTTCTTAGACTTTTTTTAAGTTGGAAAGCCTCCATTTCATTAGCTTATTCCTCTTAACATTAAAAATCAGTGACTTCTCCCAAAACCTCAGATTTGAGTATCTGAGCGTTTATGTTTTAATAAGCCTACATTATGCTGTACAACTTCATCTGTGTTAATTTTAGGTTTCTAGCCACCATTAGGTGGAGCAGAATACTAGAGAAAAGCCCTATGGGGCATGATCTCCATTCTGACTCAGAGGAGGGCATCTGGAAGGTAATTTCACACAGTGGCAGTTACACAACAGGAAACTGGAGCTTCTTCTGTGAAGCCCAGATCCATCGCTCCACAGGATTTAATGAGACTGCAGTGGAGGATGGAAACAAATATGAATTTTGACTTTTGCTCTTACGTGAGCTAAGCTGCAGTTTTAAGAAAGAAGACAGAACTGCTCTACACGATACTCTGCACAGTATGAACAGCAGGCTGATTTATATTAACTTCATGTATAAACTTTACCAACGTCAACTGTCAGTAAAAATGTTATAGTACCAAAAAAGGTCTTATATCTCCATTTGGTGCTATATAAAAGCATTCAAAAGTATTCTTTAAAGAACTAAACATTTAAGGTTCTCCATCATGAATTTTATACATGATAACAATAATAGGCCTAATTATAATATTGGAATTTTATAAAGGACAACACAATTTTGTTTTGCAGATTCTCAAGTATGATGTTTCATGTTGGTAAGAAATGCAAATAATAACAATAATAATAATAATAATAATAACAATAGATGCAATAGAAAGAATTAGAACTAGCCCTTATAACCTTGTGGAGGCAACAGTAGCTTTAGAATAGCACACAGAAAAATAAACTTGTTTGAATGCAAAGATATATAAAATACTTATGCAGTCATTTGCTTTACTCTAATTTCTTATTTTTAAGAATGCAACTTGTGTATAAAGCCTTTGCACATGTACATTGGAAACTGAATATAAGCTGGTCACCTTAACTAGAGTTCAGGGACGTAAGTGTTGTTAAAGCTGAAACCTCTCAGTCGAAGTACATTGGACAAACGCCCGAGGGCACTGAAATGATCAAACTGAAAGTGGCACAGAGGCTGAAATATGTTAGCTGTTTTGAGGTAACTCTAGAATGTCATATCAAAGTTGACCGCACAGATTCCTGATTTAACACACTGTGGATTGTTTTGTCCTATTGAACGATATTGCGGTTTTGTCTCCTTATGACCTCGTGTCCGTAGGCAAGGCTATATTGAGATCTAAGAAGCATCCACTTTGCTAGCTCTGGGGAAAGCTCTAAAATTCCTCCAGTGCTCTTGGCTGCACATCTTTGTGCAGCAGGACCATCATTTCCCCATCTGAAACACTTATTCTGTATTTTTTAATGTGACAGATGAATTGATTTTGTAATGATTGTACCCTTGTGGTATTTCATGGTGAATGAATCATTATAGTTACCATCAGACACATTGCTAATACCCTGTTGCTATGTTTTGCAATCTGGCCGCTCTGATTGTTTGAGTACAGGTGTCATTTGTCATGGAGAAAAAGCCATAAGCCTCAAAGGAGTGCAGCCCTAGCAGTTTCAAACCAGCTTTCAGCTACAATTAAAAAGCGACGATGGATGAGTCTCTTAAATTTCAAGTCATAAAAGATGTGTTTATTTCTGTTATTTCATGGAATTGCCTCCCTCTAAACAGCAGTATGACTCTACATGAGGTACTATAGAGCTTGCCCACCCACGTTAGATTGTGTCTGGCTGGAGAAAAATCTGCATCTTGTTGCACCGTTTTGTGGCTTTTTATCGCAACATATGGTATTGAACTGGAAAGAGGAAAAGAAGAACTGTCTCATTCAAGTTCTTTCTTTTTCTTCATTGGATACAAAATAAAGAGGAACATATTGAAACTGGCAGAGAGGTGGTTGGCTCAATTTTTGTGCTAGTTTTTTGTCATTTCTTTTTGCTAATGTCATCATCAACATCTAACATGTTCAGAAAATGGTAAGTTAGGGTAGTTAAAAAAAAACATCTTACAAATTCAAATTTTAGGCAATCTAGCTTGATTGAGTGGGACTTGTATTTTGAGTGTTTTCTGTCTGTGCTTGCTTTGGAGTATAATTTTCACAGAACATACTTCACAGAATAGTGCCTCTTCAAACTGACTGATCAGGTTTAGTTTAATATCAGATTAGGTATGTTGAGGGATCCATTGCGCCGTTTTGTCACTTCTCTGGTGTCGTAGGTGACTTCAGTAGATGAGTCAGCGTGTGCGTGCATTTGTGCGTCTCCTCTGTCTCTTGTGTCTGATGTTAACTGGGTGCATGTGTGTGAACGTGTAAATTGGGCTGGAATGCTGTGTCCTGCCAAACCCCCGGCCCAGACACCCCCCTGGAGATAAGTGAGATAGAGCAGGGGATGTCTCGCACATCACTGCCCCAAGACTGGCACACTCAGCTCCCTCACACCATCTGCTCTGCTCTTCTCTTC